TGGCAAATTTATTCTTTGAGAAAACATATCAGCTCTAATTGGTTCCATCTCAGTGACCCTTTAAAAGCTCAGATCTGAATGTTATAGATTACTCTATTTGGAGTAGAGTCCTAATTCTTTTGCAAAACCATTGTCATGACATCGTTGATATTGATTTATTGAAGTGGAACTTAACTGAAGCTTGGAATGAAGTTCCTCTTGACACTATCTGCAAAGCTACTGCCTCCTGGTTACCACGTTTACAACTTTATGCTAAATATTCAGGCAAATATTTCAAACGTCTATGATGATTGTTCATGAATCATGATAGCTAAATAAATTTCTTTCTGAATTTACTGCTTTTGTACTTGGATTTTTTTGTAATGTTGAACTCCCCACAGTATTTAGTATCACCGAAGTTATTGCTAACATTTTTTGTCAAGATTTACAAACTTTGTTTTGTTCAATTTCACAAGCCAATTGATGAAATTTGAATAAGCTGATTTGTTTGGAAAAATACTTTGACAAAAACCGTACCCTGCGGTTTAATAATTTCTTTAATTTAATTTTATAGGACTTCATGGTAAACAATATTTTTAAGAAAATTTCTTTTTTTCCTTTTTAATAGTGAAGAATAAATTCTTAGGATTTCTTACTCTTGAGCATACAACACACAACTGGCCATGCATAAATATTTCTTTCTGGATCTAAATTCACACTTTTTGAAGCATTTGGCCTTGTGATTTGCTTATAGTTCTCACAAACACAGGGTGAACTGGAAATTGGATCTTTGTATATATAAAATCTTAAAGAAAAGATATGCAAAATCAATATTGTATTTTTATTAAATAAGTATTTATTTTAATCATTAATTTGTTTTTAATATAATGGGAGTATTTTGTATGTTAAATAATAAAAAAAAACTCATGAAAATTTATTGCATTAAGCTTATACACCCTAGTAAAACTTTGTACCCCCATTATGAACTGTTTGCATTTCTTCCCAAACTTTTATTTTCATTGGTCAATGTATGACTATTTTAGACTAGAGGGCATGATGGACGGACTAATGGAAGTCACATAATTTTAAATTATTAATGGTAAACTCCTTAATTTTTTACATTAGCTATTTTTCTTGATTTTTCTTTTGTTATCTTTATCCTTAAATGCAGTGTTACCAAAATTAATATTATTATTTGTTCAGAATGATGTTGCATTTCTTCAAAAATTCTGTGGCTTCTGTTCATTAGTCCATCTGTCACACCCTCAAAAATATCCATACATTGACTGATTGAAACCAAATTTTGGGGGAGAAGTGCAGACAGGTAAGGTAAAAACCAATTACAGTTAGTTTTATTTGTGTGCGTAGCTTAATGCAATAAATTTTCATAAATTCTTTTGGAACAGCCACACATCCAAACTTACAGCACCTGGTATTTCCAAATGGTCACCCATGTACTAACCAGGTTTGTTGTTGTTTAACTTCAGTGATCGTACAAAAACTAGAGTTTCAACGTGATACAACTGTACGACCAGTTTAGCTATAAAGAACAAATCACTTTTTACACTTTAACAGGATAAGATTTTTTTGTGGGGGAGGTGTGAAATTACATAAAAAAGTTAAAACTACAACGCCAAACAATCCAGTGGTTATCAACATGGGAAACGGAATGGACAAACCAAATTCAAGCATCAGCTGAGGTTGTATGTTCACTTAGCAACTCTAAAATTAATGCCTTTGGACCTTGAGAAATGCATTCGTAGATTTTTGCACTTTCTTTGTCTCATCACTGGCATGCCACAATGATTCACAGATGTAAGAGAGTGAATATGGTGATTTTCTAAGCGTAGCTTAGATGTGGCACCCAGTGAGAATTGAATGGAAGAGAGTGAATGAGCACTAAGTTGTGTTGTTTTTTTGGGTTGTTTTTGCGATTGAGAAAGTATTGTGGGTTGACAAATAAAACCCACAAATGTTGATTTGGCTTGTAGAATTAAATTTCTACATTCTCTGTTTTAAACCTGTTAAAAGAGGATCACAGCTAAGTATTCTCAGTTTGTGTTGAACCATTAAAATTGGCTCCAAAGTTCAATGCGAAACAATGCTTTCTGATTGGTCCATAAATAATAATGTTATGTTTCTGCCTAGGCCCACACGGTTGACCTCGACTTGACCTGTTCAGAGTTCAACGTGCCAAAAAAAAAATAAACGTTCTCAAGCCTCCATGTGATCAAGGAAATTCATAAATATGTAACTTCGACACGACTTAGTGAGTCCTTAAAATAATCAACTCATCACACGAATCCATGAAAACCCAACTTCCTTGCTGAAAGTTAATTTTAAGATCAACCCAACTTGTGGAATTCAATTTCTTTTCAACATCAACTCATCTAATGACCAATTCAACCAAGATGGGATTCATAAACCAACTCACTCAATATCTTAACACAATAAATTGTTAGTATATCAGTCGAAGTGAGACAACTCTACAGTAAGTCAAGCAATCTATTTCATATTTCACCATCAACATAAACTGTTTAATTCCTTACCCTTGATCACACAACCAAGAACTCTAAAGTTTTAAACTTTATTATATTATGGAATCCTCCACATTTGCCTGTCATCCACTACAGGAAGATGGACTCTTCCCCAAATAAACCTTTAACCAATCATCACTTTACTTTTCAAAACTCAATCTCCCATTGGTTAAAAGGACACTAAAATGTAGCAAAGTTGAGACAAACCTTTTTTCCCCGCGCAGGTCTCTGGAGCCTATTTGGAAACTAGAAAATCTATAAAAAGTATCGCTTGACTTAATTCGAGTTAGTCAGACACTAAGTTTCAAGAGATACCAGCGGACCCCACGCGTGCCAACACACTGACTCAATAACCACTACCAACCTCTCAACACAACTATTGCCGCGTGAAGAAACTTAATTTACAATTTACTAAAAAGTGACATTATCACTACAAAACAGTAATTGTACATTCAATCAACTTTAGCCTATCAGTTAAAGGCGAATAACTCTTCATAACTTAAATCAACACTAGCAGTTGTCACACACTATCACTTGAACTTACACAATTGAGAATTTTCCTTGCAGATATCAAACTATTTTAATTCCACAAACAAAGTTAAACTATCAATCTTTACTCATTAAATTTCTGCATGGACAATCTTTGTAACCTTATTTCACTTGCCACATTTAACAAGCAACTTATTATCACTTTGTCATTGTGCATATCAAATAAATTCACGTTATTGTTGAAATCTCTAATGACGTTGTTTTCAGTAATTTTTTGAAGTTGAATCGTCTATTTATTTTTGTTTGATTTATTTGTTGTGGATCACGCACATTCTTAGCCTTCACAAAAAAATCACCTTCTGACATCTTATTCAGCATAGATTCCGCAACAATATCGTGTGACTTGTTGTAAAAATATGTTCGGTTAAAACAAAAATATCTGCCTATTTGATTATTTCTCTTGTTGTCTTTGTTGCATTTTAGTAAAAATAGTAAAATGGTCAGTTTTTGTCGCCGATACAGATTGGCTAAACCCATTATTACAGGTTAAAAAAAAAAAAATAGCCAAACATGAGAATTTAAAAAAAAAAAAAAAACGAGAGAAATTTTTAAACTTTTAGCATAGAGAATGTCCAATGATAGTTCCTGAAAGCGAGTGTAAAATTTTGAGAATGTTCTTGTGATAGTCCCTGTAAAAAGGACTACTGAAAAAATCGCGCAGGTTGTGTTTTTTAGTTTTACTTTTAAAAGTTACAATAAATTCAAAATTGATACCTCCCGCCATTTTAAAAAAAATAAAAATAAAAAGTTTATTTCCGGAAGATATGAAGGTTATATTCATCATTCAAAAAAGCATAGAAAAACAATACATTTTCAAACAAAAATGCATTACTTCGCAATTTCAGTTTAACGAATCTTTATCAAACTGGTTATTTTACATCAAAAAACATTTCCCTCGATCTTCTAACTTTACATTTATTTACTTTTTGCGGTTCGGGTTCTATAGTTTCAGAAACAGATTTTTTTAACTTTTGCCACTGCATTTTTATTTTTTACTGAGTGAGGGTTTTCTACAATTTTAACGACTTCTTACATAAAAAAAACAGCTGACTAAAAAAGAAAGATACACAGACTTTTACAGTGCTAATAATTACAGTGGCGAAGACTGAATTTAAAGAAAATAAAAAAAAGATAACCAGACTTGGGTACGATCCGCCTTCAGTATGCAATTATTCAATCTAATTACAATTAAGTATTAACAATAGAAACTAGAACGTTTTGGTTGTAACAATATTTCATTTTAAAAATGGTCATCCGATTGTTCACTGAGGCCAGATGTGTACTTGTCAAAATATTGTGATTAGACTGCATAAAATAAAATGTTTAGGCTTATTCCATTTCATTTATTTTTTAGTCAACTTTTTTTAAAGTCATTATGTTCCGCCGTCAGGACTTGCGTGCCCGGTAAACGGTAGTCAAGCCGAAAAAAAAAAAAATAAAAAAATAAGACGTCGTGATTCGTATTCAACACAAGTTCTGTACTTTTACCTTCGTTAATGGTATGTCATAGTAACGGATCCCATTAGTACTCGAACTTCCAATAATACTGAGACGATGACCGTCTCCATTGTGTACATAAAAAGGCGAAAATTTGTTTAAAAAAAAATATGTGCATGCAAAGAAATGTTTGATTCAGTGTAAAAAGAAAACATTAATTGTTAATGACGATAATCTTGTGGGCTTCTTTAACTTGTGAATATCTTCGACACATCATAAACTTACGGCAGAATTAACAGTAAAACATAAATAAATAAAAAAAAACACATCACTCTTCTTACACGTGGGGAGTTGATCGAATTCTAACTTCCGGTATTTATAAATACTGAGCATGCGCATTGTAGTCAACAGTTAGTGTGCTTCGAAGGCTGTTAAGAGCTGCCTTTCCTCCGTTTATTTTTCTTGATTTATTTCATTTAAATCTATTTTTTTTATCAGTATCTGTCTGAAAGGTAAGTACAATTATATATTTTATATTTAACATGTAATTCATATACATATTTTTTTCTTTTGGTGCTTTATGTAATTGTTTAGATTGTAACACAGGCTTCTTAGAGAACTAGAGTACCTGCAAAGGTTTTGTTTTTAATACAGAACATTTAGTTTTATTTTTCGGAGTTAAACATTTTTTCCAAATTTGTAATTTTTTTTTAGGCATATACTGTAATTGTTTATTGCTTAATTTTGTCTTAAATAAGAATTAAATAAGTTTGTATGGTTGCATGGATATAGTGGTGTAGCAATGTCAATATAAAAAAAAACTAATTTCACATTTATGATTTCTTCGATTTTTTTCATGAATATCAATATTTTCTCTTAATTAGCTGATGAGATCGGTTTTTAATGATTCAAAGTTCTGCAATAATTACAATTTTATTCACTTGGCTCTCTCCAAAAGTTTACTCGACTCCAATTTCCTCTATTTTGTTGATGTTGGTTTGTTTGCATTAAAACTAGCGGACAATCAATAAACTTTATTTTACAAACAATTTTATGAAATTTATAAATTAAAAAGTCTTAAAAAATAATCGTTCAAATTATTGATAGTGCTAAAAATCTTTAAGCACTTGTCTTTAGAATTTCATTTAAATTCAGTGCAAGTTAAATTAATTAAATTCTAATTCTTAATCTTTTACTTTTATAATCGTAAAAAAAAAAATGAACAAAAAAAAACTCTAACAAATGACAAAAATGTATTTTCCTTTTTAATAGTTTATTTTTCGCTTATAACAGAGTAACAAATAACAATGTATGATGGAGATTAGAGCCTAAATTTATTATTGAAACCCCCACACCCAGATAAGTAATTGATGGAAATTTTAATTAATTTGGACTAGTTTTTTGAGGGATATTTATTTGTTTGAGTTTGAGGAAGAACAAAAATAAAATTCATTTTTTAAAAATTAACAGAGATCATATTCTGACAAGATAATGCAAATAACAAAGATGAAGATAGTTCATTATTCATGGAATAGTGCATAATCTAAAAAAAAAACATTTATCAACATAAACATCAAGAGACCAATGGTTTATTTTTGTGTTTGAGTAGTAGTTTCATTTTTGGCTGAAAAGAAATTTTAAAAATCTCTGAATATTTTATAGCAGACACTAAACAAAACATTAATCAACTTTCTACCTCTACATCTTCTGTCACTTTCTGATGTGTTGTTTTTGTTTATTTTTTTATAACTATTGTTCATCCAATACAAGGCCAAAGTGCCACTCGAAGGAGAGAGTTACTGGATGGGGATCTTAAGGACATAGGGAGCAAGGGTTGCATATTATGAGGATAAGTAGGATAGATAATGGTTGATCTTCAACTTGAAGCGGTTAAAAGTGTAGTGATCAGCACAGCCTCTGCTTGAGAGTCTGTTCCACATTGCAACTGTTCCGCAGAAGAAGCTATTTGAGTGGAACTTACTCAATAGAATATGAAGGGTATGAATTGATTCAGTGTCTTTATCTGCCATCAACAATATCCTATATGCATATTTTTTCGTTGCTGTTTTACTGTATTACATCCAATACAAGGCTAAAATCTCACTCAAAGGGTTATGGAGATGTTATAAAGACATATAAAAGTGGATCAAAGGTTGCATATTTTGAGGATATGTAGGATAGATGATGGCTGATTCTCAACTTGAAGACTTTTAGATTGTAATGAGGGAAGCATCCTCCTGGAAGTTTTTTGTGATTACAACATTTCTGGGAAAGAAAATCTGAATGGAACTTAAAGACATTTTAATGCAAGTATTTTTAACTTTCTTTGAAAAACTCATTTTGTTTGATTATTTTTTTTTTTTTTTTAAATAAAGAATTATTAATATCCTTAAATTTGTCTGATCTAGTTGAACTATTGTTCGCATCACTGAGTATTACAGGCACAATGTTTCGGACAAGTAATCTTAGGTCATCTTCAGGTGTTCGTTATGGAATATCTTAAGTGTTGATTATTGTTATTTTGCCCCTGTGATTCGAGTTATTCCTCATTCCTGCTAAATTAAAGTATACTGAAGATGACCAGAGGGTACTTTGCTGAAGTGTTGTATCTATTGCAGCATCTATAACAAAAATGGGTGGGGGTAGTTTGACTAAATCAAGTAAGAATATTGATAAACTCATTGTTTATAATGTTACACTATGTGACAATTATTACAGACAATGGAGTAAATTCCTCCTTCAGGTTTTAGCTTATTGTTTTGTTTAGTATTGACTAAGTCTTTTATTGTTTTGGATATAGTAGTTTAGTAACAAATTTTATGTTGAGTTTGGGTAGATTCTTTTTGATTGTAGATTTGATAGTTGTTGGATAAGATACTTTTTGATTCACTGGGTTTTTCAGAGGAGGCCATTTTTTTTTTTTTTTTCCTTTTGGAATATTTTATGTGCCTTTTGTTTTGCATTGAATATAAAATAATTCGGGTACTGGAAAAGTTTGAAAATACTTTTCAAACTTCTCCAGTACCCTAATATTACACTCTGCATGCGGGCAAAATGGTCTATGCAATGAAAGTAGACAGATGTAATTAAACAGTCATTTAATCTGCAAGATTGTTTATAAGAATAAAAAAAAAACCTCTTATTTCAAAGAACAAATTATTCTCATAGCTGCTATATATAAATCACTGGATGCAGGAAATAGTACAATTGCTTGATTATGGAATTTAATAAAAAAGAGATTTAGTTAGCTAATCTTTGGCATTGTATGATTTTATATGAATGTCCGTTTTGTTTACTGATGAACTTTAAAATAAGAGATACTTAAGTTTTTGTTTAAATGATCTTGTTTAATGTTTGTATCTTCATATTGTTAAAATGACTTTAACAGTAATACACTGAGGAAAAAGATAGCTGTAAATAAATGGTGGTATTTATCATCTTGAACAGAATATGGCACAAGTCTGGATTTGAAGTGGCAGTCTCTTGCATACATAGGATGAATGACAGAATGCTCCCTCAGCATTTTATTTTTTTATTGGAATGCCTCTGGCATCAGGAAATAACCTTGTTGCTGCCACCTTTTAGTTAGAACAGGAGAGACACTGTAAATAGCAGATATTCAGAAGTAAGAGATAAGTTTACCTGGAACAGTTTTTCTAATGATATCCTGTTGCCCATCAAATATAGTCAATATTTTTTCAAAAATTGTTTTCTAAAACCTATCTTCTGAAGTAATTTTCTTTCTTGATAGTAGTTATTTAGAAAATGTAGCTATTTTTTGCCCAATATCAGCACTATTATTAACCTACAAAAGTTAAACCGAAAGACTCTTCTACAATGTGTAAATAATTGATTATTGAAAACAAATTCTTCAGAAGTTTATATTAAACTGGGTCAATGATACTTATAAATCTTGGAAATTATGCTGGTAATTTATGATGTAATTAGTATAAAAGATAGTTGTGTCTAGTATTGTCAGATTGATAGAATATAATTGTGCCTTTTTGTTATCAGTCTCGTCCAGTTTTAATCTGTCTGTTATAAACTGCAGCAGAGTGATTAAAACAATACACACCTTGATATAAATAGAGGCTATATAATTGGGTCAGTTGTTTTAAAGAGTCTAAGTTATTGTGTTGGATGTCAACTTGATATGATTTGGACAAAAATGCAAGAAAGGGTTACAAACTGCCAGTAAATAACATTATCCATCAGAGGGAAAATGTTTTTGACAAGGAGTTTTAGAGGTGATATTGTAGTATGTGGTCTACTAAAGCATTTGATTTCTCAGTCTTCCCATAAGTCATTGTGCCCATGTAAAGCATTCAACCTGGATTGAAGTGAATAAAGAAATATATAAGACCTCATAAATAAGATGTTTGCCAAAACTTTTTATGAATTGTCATTTCTAGTGAATAATTGACATATGCATTTCTAAAAAAGTGCAGCCTCTGCAAAAAACAGAAGCATGCCATAAATGTGGTTTTGTTAGGTGGGATGTTGAAAAGGATGTCATACATCATGTTCAATTGAAAAAATTATTTTTTAATAAATGTGGAAAATGTATGATAAAGTTTGACTTCGCACTAAATTTCAATTCTTTAAATTAATTTTGAAAAATAATGTACTCTGCATTAGAAACATTGTGGTGGGCCATATACTACAAAAGTACCGTTTGGGAAGTAATTATATTTTGAACTAACATCATACTCAAAAAAGAAAATTACTTTTCTTATCCATATGGATTGGCATTTCTGTTGCATTTGCTTAGTTTTTTGGGGTAGGGTATGAGACCAGTATGTATTTCTACAGAACCTCCCCATTGTATCATAAAGAGAGTATTCTGATGCCTTCATGATACTGGTTGCAGGGACTAGGTAATTTTTGTCTTTGTTCATGTGTCTGGGTCTCCAAGTTCAACTAGCCATGCCGTCTTACCAATAAGAAGGTAGTTAATTAATAGAGTTTAGTATCTTAGTGCTCTGTGAAAAATGTTACCCCATTATCATATATAAATAAGAAGAATGACTATTTTTATCTTTAAAAAAGAAAAAGAATAGTTAAATTAGTTAAACAAAAAAGGTAATCCTGATTTGATATTTACAATGTTTTCAGGACCAATTTTGTCTATCACTGGGTCCATACTACATAAATTGGTGAAATGGTTGGCTGAATTATTCTAAACACTATTAGATATGTTCATGGAAAATTGTATTAAAGATTTGTTTACATTTGCCAGTTATATGCAGAATTATCCATTTAATTCTGATGACAAATTTGTGTTCATCTAATATCAGCAGTTTATTTACTTGTCTTCTGCTTCAGGATTTTTTGCGCTGATGCCCTATATCAAATTAATCTTTCTCCTCCTCGTATTCCTGAAACTGTTTTTATTGAACTTAAGTTTGTCGCCATTTCCATTGAGTTCAGCTTTGATAATTTGATGTACATCAGATTGATTGGATTTCAATGGATAGCCCTTTGGGTCCTGGAATAGGAAATATTTTTGTGG